CCTCGTGAAATAACTTGCTGTTTATTAGGATAGAATGGGATTTACATATTTAGAGGAAAGTCAATAAGAAGGCTTAATCTCAGGGCCGTTCCATTGCCTTTCGTCCCATTAGCAGTCCACGTTGGCCAGTCATTTGTTTTCAGATGCATGGTTTTGATGGTGGAGAAATTCGTAACCCATACTCAGCTACGTCAACCACAGTACGCCGACCAGAGCCCAGGAGTTCAGCAGCAATCCTCCCTCTCGCACATAATCAATCCCCACGGGATTCAAATCTGCGAACCCGCGAATGGTAATTAGGGGTGCGATGACAAGCGTTTTTCTAATGCTTAGCGACACACCGACGAGTCGAGCATACAAAAAAGTATTGCATTTTTTTAAAAATGAAAGGTAAAATTGTATTTTAATAGGTACTAGCAATGAAAAGGAAAGTTGATTGTGAAATGCGTGATGTTTGAATATATAATTATGATGAAACTCAGGAACAAAGTAGCATTAACCGCACCTTCTTTTAAGCATTTAGTATTGATGCACCCCAAGATAACATTAAATCAAGAATTCGAGCATTCGATCCACCGCCGGAAGAATTTGGTGATATAATCACATGTCTAATAGCTAAAATTTGAAATGCGATCAACACAACCGTTTGGTAACAAACAAACAAACCTTCACAGCGTCCAGTTATATCAAACTTCATTTTGAACAAGATCGTGAAAATACAACCACACGAAATGTATCTACCCGCTTGCTGATAGATATTTTACAAAATTAGATACAATACCGCTAAATTGCAATTGGGGTGAAGTTACTTCATGTATATAACTAGCACCATGTCGAAAACTGACCACCATGCAGGAAACAATTTGTCACAAATTCGGCTATAAATGGAATATTGAAAATAATTGCATTAATAGGAATGAGATTTATTATCGATGAATTGATAATGAATTCGATCAAAATCTGCATCGCCGGTCTGTATCAATTCAATCATAGAAATAAATCGCAAGTTAGAACAAGTCGAAACTATTTCATCAATGATATTTATATATTCTTCCGTATAAAAATATAGTTCTTCTGAAAACATACTACCGCAAAGTTGTGATCTTCTCGAGGCCAATACTCTCTTATAAGAAATACTTCAACATAATATATTGGAGTTGTTTTTACTCATTTGTGTTGGCTATATACTTTATAGCTTGATGCTCTTCTACTAGGTAACTTATTAGTCCAGCGGATAAGACCTAAAATATGATGGAATTGTGCACTTTTGGATGCAAGCATGAAACTTGGCACACATGTACATTAGCATCCCCTGATCAATTTTGGATATGGTGCCATCCAAGAAAATACCTCGTTGTCATGGAAACGAGGCATCAACCGTATTGCTATTAAAGAGAAACAAACACTGCTTTAGGAAAGGATATTTTCAAGATAAGTAAACCGATGTATATATATATATATAAGAAGTGAAGAATATGATTAGAAGTTCATTTTGACAATTTCCCTTGATAACAGAATACCTGTTACCATGGAAACGAGGTATCGTTATCGACCAAACACGATTATAAGTCGCACAACCTGTATTTTCTGGTAGTGTCATGGATCACAAATTAAGCTACATTCACTTTCAAAATGTAATTCCCAAAATGTAATCCCTGAAGCAGCAAAAATTTGCACAGAGCTGATTTATTGTGGCTGCAAGAAAGATTGTGCTGCTCGCTGCAAATGTTCCCGTGCTGATTTAGCATGTACACCACTATGTTTCTGTGATGGGGATTGCGGAAATAACGACTGACATTGCAAAATTGATCGGGGGATGCTACTGTACATGTATATATGCCAAGTTTCATGCTTGCATCCAAAAATGCAGGAGTAAATATCCAAATTGTAAAATTGCCCCCACTAGTTATTGGGGAGTCTTTGTGGAATATATATTCTTGGTAAATATAATTATTTCAATCGTTTTTCTATTTATTTCTTTTTGTCGCACTTACATAAGGCGAGTTAGATATAGATTAGAATAATCAACACTTCCAGCCGAATTTGAGCTGAAATGTAATGCAAGTTTTCCGTTTTTATCTGATTGAGATACTAATGCCAGAGTTAAAAGAATGAATTTATCTTTATTAATATATATGATGACGATATGATAGCTCCAAGGTAACAGTAATCCGTCAATTATGAGATATATATTTTATATTTTCACCAGCTTTACGTGGCTATGAGTTTGAAAGTATACCTTCGGCGATGGCAGTTGATTGAGCATATTCTTCACTTCTTATATTCACATCGGTTTACTTATCTTGAAAATATTCTTCCTAAAGTAGTGTTTATTTCCCTTTAATAGCAATACGGATGATGCCTTGTTTTTATGGCAACGAGGTTTTTCTTGGATGGCAGCATATCCAAAATTGATCAGGGGATGTTATTGTACATGTGTGCCAAGTTTCATGCTTGCATCCAAAAGTGCATGATTTCACCTCTTATCCGCTGGACTATATCAGAATCTTGTGTGTGTGTGTTTTGCACGACGTTTATTCACGCTTTTCGTTCCGAGGCAGGTAGGCAGGCAAACCGTGTGTTCGCCCTCTCTCAGCTGAGAGAGTATACTGAGGTATTATTGGACTTTCTAACACTTGAACTTGTGATACGTTGGTAAGCCATATGACATTCATGATGTGTCGCAGACAAGAATGGTGAAATTTAACTAGTAGTCAGACGTGTATTCTATAGAGCAGGAGTTCCCAAACCAGGGGTCGCGACCCCAAATTGGGTCGGAGTGATAAATAGGTAAGGTCGCAACCAGGTCATGGGGTCGCTGAGGTATGGTAGAGGATGGATGTACAACTCATCTAAGATTTGACAAACCATGTTAAATTTAGCAGTTTGTACCATGGCTTAATGTAAAGCAGGCCCATAGGCATCACTCTATGCTTTTGTTATTGAAAATGTAGGTGTTTATTGTGACATCACTGTCGGGTTTTAGCTTATTTTACTTAATACCACTACACGACCAAACTTAAAAGTCCAGTGAAAGAAGCTCTAAAGTTTCATAAAAAATATATATATTGACCTGGGGTCGCACTGGACACTTGTCTTTGGGGTCGTCCTGAAAAAAAGCTTGGGAACTCCTTCTATAGAGCGTCCAAGATTCCCAGGCACAGACCAGCGTGCGTAGAATTACCCCTTTTAACATTGCGCACTTCGTCTCCAACTATCTCACTCCGAACTCGCCTCTGCATTCTACCATATGTAGCGTACCGGCAGTCTATGTAAGCGACAAGTACCAGGCATCACAATGAAAAAACAGAATATACACAATAAAAACCCTTTGAACAGTACTGAATAAGTGGCGGCGCGTCAATAGGGCCAACCGGGGCAATGCCCCAGTTGTATTTTCGGTATAATAAAAAATATTCGAAAAATACCTCAATATCGGTTGCACAGACTGTCTACACTAGCCATATTCTCCCGACATGGTTCATTTTTCGCTCGCAAAGCCTTCGCCGAACGTCGACGGGGCGACGCCGATTTTGCCCCGGTTGCACATTGTATATCGTATTCTCTCTTTTATCTTCCACTCGCCGCGTTTGTCTCGTTTGTTTTCTGTTTCTTTTACTAAATCATCGGAGCCGATCGGGGCTAGCCCCGAAATTATGACGACACAATGCCGACGTTTCTTACAACAACGTGTTGACATAACACGCATTCCTTCTCGTTCGTTGGTTGCTTGAAGAGTTGATAGTTTTCTCGCCTTCGTTTTTGTCGCTTGTTTCGCTATTTGAATCAGTTAGAGACCTTTAGTCCATTTGCTTTCGATTTTCCACATTCCTTTTGAGCTCCTCACTTCTTTTCGCTTCGCATTTCTTAGCCTTAGACCTCATAATGAATAAGGTTGATGCGCTACTTCGCACTCCGTTTTCGCAGCTGCCGCTGGAACAAAAATTAGAGGTACAACGTCTTGGGCCTTATCAACCAAAAAATTGTTCACTGGAACAATCCCATGACGGAGGACAGCGTCGGCGTACATTCTGCGCAGAAACTTGGTATAAAAAACGCGAATGGTTGTGTTACAGCGAGGACAAAAATGCACTTTTTTGTTTTCATTGCCTACTTTTTGCTACAGCCCGTGACTCACGTTGGTGTAAATTTGGTTTTAGAGATGTTAAACATCTTTCCGAGCGTGCCAGGGATCATCAATCTTCTATGGAGCATCTGGACAATGCAGTAAAATACCGAACATTCGGAAATGTTAATATTGCAGCACAGTTGGATGAAGGACGCGCGGTTTCTATTCGTCGGCACAACCAAAACGTCGAGAAAAACCGCCATGTTCTCGGTCGATTGATAGATGTTTTGAAGTTCATTGGTTGTCACGAGCTGTCCCTCCGTGGGCACGATGAACGGGCTGGCTCTTCTAATAGAGGGGTATTTTTGGATATGGTGGAATACACCGCATCCCTAGATACAGTATTGAGAGATCATCTTGATGCCGCAACTGTTTCGAAAGGGACATCTAAGGATATCCAGAATGATTTGCTCGACTCAATGTATAAAATTTATTTACAACATTTGGCTCTGGAAATTGAGAATTGCCAGTTCCTTTCGATTCAGTCTGACGAGACAACTGACATCACGTGCGTTTCCCAACTGGCTGTGATTTTTCGGTTTGTGAAAGATGGTAAACCTACCGAGAGATTTCACAGCTTTGTACCAATCGTTGATCGCACGGCTTGCGGGATATCGGTAGGGCTGGGCATTTTCGAATACCTGATGATTTCAGAATCGAATCGAATATTTTTTTCGAATCGAATCTCGAATACTTATAAAAATTTTACCAAATTAGCAACTACAAAATTACATGTGACTTTTTTTTATTGCAATGGGTCCTTCAGATACATGAAATCCCAAAAACACAAAATCTATCACTCAGTCATTTGCTAAGTTGTCACATATGAAAAGAAACATGCTTCATCAATAAGTCAATGAGAAGGAAAAAGTCATATGTCAGAATTGCATTTTAAAAATACAAGAACTTCCACATGTGATCCGGTGAGGCTTGATCTGAGCTCAGTGGCAGTGTTTCCAGCTGCAGAAAATAATCGCTCACTTGGGGTTGATGTTGCTGTTACACACATATATTTGCCAACAAGCTTGCTCAAGTTTGGATAATTAGCGTTTTGCTCTTTCCACCAAGTGAGGGGGTTTGAACATTCAGAAAGTACTTTGGAACTAAAAAATTTGTTCACTTCATTGGCAACCACTGGGACCTCAGTATCTGCACTGTCATCGGACTCTGATGATTCGAAGGCAAGGCTTATGATAGATGTCGATTGCTGAACTGAAGAAGATGAAGGTTCAGCTTTTTCAACAACTGTTTGTTCAAATAAGACTGTGAGTTACAATTCGATTGCACTTTTGAGCTGGAAAAAATAAGCATGTCAAAAAAGGAAACAAACTTTAGCCAGATCAACTAGGAATCTTTATTAAGTATGGCCAAAACAAGCAACATTTGGATAAATTTGAAATTTTATGCATTCAATAAATGACAAGTTTTGAATACAGGAATATTTTAGATTAGTTTTCTTATGGAAATCTGCGATTTAGGAACCACAATTGACATCAAACAAGTCATTGTTCACTATGTTTATTATACAGTGGGGAAAAAGTCAACTCTATATCTTTAGATATGGTCGATGCAGATATGTCATGAATTTTATCTAATCCTGTCAATGCATTTGAAACATGAATTTACACGAAAATTCAATTTGACCTCATTCCAACCAAAATAACATGCTATGTTGTTTGTCATGTAGGGCAATTTTGTTGGCAAGATAAAAATCTTATTCAGGAAGAAATAACAAGTTACCTGAAGTGACTCCACAGTACGAAGTCCCCGCAGTTTATATCTGGGATCCAGAGCCATTGCCTTCGAGCTGATATCATTAAGATCAATTGGAAATCGCTCCTCCATTTCGCCTTTTACTTTTTGTCTGAACTGCTGGATTACCAAAAGTTCATCATCTTTCTCGCGTGACAGATGTTTTTTCAATCTCTTGATGTATGGATTCTTTATCGATATCGAGACATATTTTTCGCCTCCTAAAAGATCAGTAGCCTCTGCAAAAGGCTCAAGTACTGGAATCAACTGCTTGAAAATCTCCCAGTCCCCAGGCTTGATTGTAAGAGAGGAGGCTTTGGTGGCATTTGTGATATTTTTATTTCCAAGTATAGCCAAAATTGCTACAGGGGTGGTGACTCCTCTACGACCCATGGGCCGGGGCCACGGCCCATCTAATTGGGCCACATGGGCCGTGGCCCATCAAGCTATGGGCCGCGGCCCCGTCAGGAAAAATTCAATTATCTTACCAAAATTTTCAATTTTTACAAAATTGTCAATATTCGAACCAAAAAATAAACTCCTGTAGTATGTGTACCAGGTTAGGGTTAGGGCAAAATTTTGTTCAGATTTTTTACATTATAGTTCTATTATGAGTTTGGGGACTGTTTGTGTTAGCCAAGTGAATAGTTTCTTTACACAACTTGTCCCATAACACTAGTCCCAACACTAGTCCCATAGCCTGATGGGCCGAGGCCCAATTTGATGGGCCGTGGCCCCGGCCCATGGGCCGAAGAGGAGTCACCACTTCCACTCCAAAATTGGCCATTGCAATTCCTGCAACCTTACAAGCATGTTGTAAGTACTGTTCCACCTTGTGGATACATCCATTATGAGTCTTTTGGAGGTAAGCTTCATTTCCTCACACTTTTTCCCCAGTGCACTGGTCGCCAATTCACTTCTCTTAAAATGTTGCACTAGTCGTCGAGCTGCTGCAAGAGGTTTTTCTATGCCGTTTATTCCCAATCCTTTGTTTAAACAAAGTTGGAGAGTGTGCGCTGCACAAGCAACACTAGCCCAACCAAATTTTTCATGAAAAATATCTTTGGCTGCCTTCATATTAGATCCATTATCGCTTACTGCTTGCACAGACAGCGTGAGGACTAACACGACCAAAGTCATTGAGAACTTCTTCTACCCACTCACAAATATTTTTTGCAGTATGTCTATCATCCAAAGGTTTCACACTTAACACACATGAACACAGATTAAATTTGGCATCAACATAATGGGCTGTAATGCCCAAATATGCTTCCATTTTCACACTAGTCCAAGCATCGAAAGTCAAGCTCATATGCTTAATGTTTTCAAGAACTCTCTTAAGCTCCATCTTTTTTTCACAATATTCTTCCTCTACACGTCGTGTTATGGTCCTCCTGGATGGCAGTGAATAATTTGGTGCAACATGTCCCATTAAGCGCTTGAAATGTGTTCCTTCTATTGTGCTGAGCGGGCGCATATCCTTCACAATAAAATCCACAACTAGAGAAGTAATCTTTTCTTGCTGAGCAGGGAGGATGGGACAAATAAGTTCCAATTTGGACTGTTTACTGGAGGACTCGTCCAAATCACTTCGATTATCAGGGTTCAAACAAATAGTTACATGCCTTCTTTTAATATGGGCTAATAGATTACTAGTGGTAGCATGGTAACTAAGTTTGTCTCCGCATCTCTTGCACACGACGTACTGGCGTTCGTCATCGTCTTTGGCTGGGGGAGTAAAGTGGCGCCAAACGGGAGATTTCCTATTCATCATACCGTACTGTTGCCGAGTACCGGTATACAATATTCTAGAAACCCCTTTAAAAATACACAATAATTCTGCAAAAAAAGCACGCAAATTAGTCTTCTATACCTTCTCACTTGCAATGTCGGCAATCACAAAAACATACGCAAGTGTAAAACTGCCTATCCTACAACTGCCTATCCTACCTGACGGCGCAACCGATCTTCCCGCATTCTGAACAAATTACGCGTCATAAAAGCGTGCGTGACAAAATCACGCCGGCGTAGCACGTGCGAGAGATAATATGAGAGCGAAGCTCGGCCGTTTGTCCTGCTCACAGCTGAGAGCAGAGAGAGGGCTTTGGAGAGGTGCAAGTCTGGACATGTTCAAACGCCGCCTACAGATGTGAGAGAAATAAAAATAAAAAAAAAACGATCGAAATGTCCCGCCGAGAGATGGCTCCACAAAGAAAAAATCGTTAAATCGCCTCGACCATTGGTGGACAGAAAAAAAAACAAGATGGCGGCGATTCGAAATTCCCGTCTGAACCGATTCGAATAATTTACTATTCGATTCGAATATTCGATTCGAAATGCCCAGCCCTAGATATCGGCTGTACTGAAAGAAGTGTTACAGCCTTACAACGCGAAGTCAAAATTGATAGCTCAAACTTATGACGGCGCGGCAGTCATGAGTGGGTCGAAACATGGTGTTCAAGTTTATATAAAGGAAGATTTTCCTCATGCTTATTTTTTACATTGTTATGCACACCAATTTAACCTCGTTATTAAAAATATGTGTCTTGATACCCCTCTCGTCCGTATATTTTCTGCAAATGTTTCGGGGTTTTCTTCATTTCTTTCCGTTTCGCCGAAGCGCTCTGACCTCCTTCGCCAGATATGTAGCCGCCGTCTCCCAGCTTGTGCACCAACACGTTGGAACTTCCAATCACGCGTGGTGCAGGGCGTGTCCGAAATTAGGTCTGAGCTCATTGAGTGTTTCAATGGCATTCAGAGCTCTCCGGTTTGGGACGAACGCTCTGTGAGGGAGGCTGCAGGTCTAAAGCGTCTGCTAGAACAGGGCTACTCAACTATTTTCACCAAAGGTCCGTTTAAAAAACTCCAAAAATACTGGGGTCCGGACATTACAGAAATTTTATTTCATCAAATGGGCAAAACTTCAATGCATTATTAATTAAATACAAGAGCAATGAATGGCTCACAACTATGGATACACATGTCGCACATCGGCAACTGTATGGATGTTTCCACGAGCATCGTTTTCTTCGTTTATTTCCGTAACAATGACCAATCAACAAAAAGTCAACGATGACGTGTAACAATTAAATTTTTCGAAGTCGCTCAGACAGATATTCGAGTTTTTACGGATTCGCGTGTTATTTGTCAGTTTTTGTTGTGTTTCTGAAAATTAGTTGTAAATGAAGTATTGTAGTTTTCATTATGTCTTCCGATAAGCTTTAGTTTAGTTACAATAATCAAATATGAGTCCCAGGTAAGCTGCGATAGACTATGCTTAAATGAAAGTGTAAGCGGCGCGTGGTTGTATATTTTTGGACACGTAGTAGAGATAGCGATCGTTTCAATATTATGTTCTTGTTGTTATTATTCTTTTTGTTCTTGTTCTTTGACACATTTTTAAAAAGTCGTTTTTCTCTTTGATTACTGGACCAATTGCTTTGAAATTTTCAGTTAGTAAAGATTTTTTTTGCTAGAGGGCTATTACTTTTAATTTTTTGCTATGACGTCATCAAAATTATGTGGTGCTACGTGTCCATATATTTGAGCATAGCTATCTTGTTATAAAAATAATGGTTTTGAGCATGTAAATCAGTTTGTAAATGTCAACTCTCTGAAACACTCGCAAAATACGCCTCCAAAATTTGGCATTAACAAAGGATAGTGAAAACGTTTCTGAGGTTAAAGGTCAGGAAAACATCATATGAATCTTTTCATATTGTGTATGTAAATAGTATCAAAATCATCTGAAACTATAAAACGGTGCTTGTGCTTCCAAAACAAACAAGCAGACGCGGTCCAAATTGAATGGTCAAAAGGTCCGGATTCGGACCGCGGTCCGCCAGTTGAGTAGCCCTGTGCTAGAAGATGGTGAGTTTTCATTTTTTCTCGCTTTTTCCCCACAATATTCTATCACGTGGATGTATTATACGGCGCATTGCAGTCAAGGCTAATGGATGGAGCGTCTGTGCAGTCGTGTATTTCAGACTTCTGCGATGCTGTATCTCGTATCCGGGAAACAATAAAATACGACGACACATGGAGTGCTTCTTTACGCCGCGGGCAAACAACGCAGCGTTTGATTTTGTCTGCAAAGGAATGCTGTGACATTCTGGTGAATCAAATAGGCGATCGTCTGCGCACTGAACACCTTGCCGCGTTCTCTTTGATGAACCCCAAAAATTTTTCAAAATTTGCACGTCAATTTCCCATCCATTTGTTGGCTACTGTCTCCAAATTTTACCCCATGATAAACGTGGGGAAATTGGAAAATAAATTGCGATGTAATGCGGCGTCTGCAAAATTTCTGGACATCATTTTGACGACGCCTATTTCTTCCGCCGACGCAGAGCGAACATTCAGCACGCTGAAGCGTATTGAAACGTATCTCAGAAACACAATGAAGCAAGATAGATTAAATTCCTTGGCTGTTTTATCCATTCACAGAGACGTTATTTCTGGGATGCATGACTTTAATCAGCGCGTTATTGAGCATTTTGCTTCCAAGAAACCGCGGCGTGTTGCATATATGTTCAAGCAGTAGAAGTCTATCAGCATATATATCTATGAGTGAGCGACGCATGTCCTTATCTTTGCATAACTTTCCTTTCTTCATAGTAACGTTTTAAACCTTATTTTAGGTTTTGTCTGCTTTCCCGAAGTTTCTGTTAATATGTCATTGTATTTATCTGGGTAAATATTGCCTTTCCTTTTGAAAGAGGTTTCAAAATAAACTATGTTAATAATCCCTATTTATTAATCCCTTGACTTGGACCGGTTTTAAAGACACTTTCTTATCGTTAAAAATTGTCGCTTTTGCCGATTGGTTGTTACCGATGGAATGGTTTTTATACTCATAAAATGATGGGAGGACTTACAGCGCTCATCCTGTCCCCGTAGATGGGGGTGACTTAGTCCCGCAGTAGCTTGCCCCGGTTGTCAAAATGACCACGCGTCGCCACTGGTACTGATGATAGTTAATTCCCTGACAACAACCAAAAATACAACGCTAAAATAACTGCAATGGCACTGTACTGAAAAAAGAATATCAGCCTACTGTCTAGCATAAAACATCCAACAATTCCCCATTCCGCAGTCACAAAACCACAAACAAACATCCCTGATAACCCACCGCAGACCAGAGGCACACCCACAGACACTCATGACCAGAATTCAACCAAAAATCAACCACACTGTACCGGTACCAACCACAGCACATTGTCACAGCGCCCTCAGTACAATAAACAAGAGAGCTATGCTCAAATATATAGACACGTAACGCCTCCCAATGGCAATAATTTTGATGACGTCATAGCGAGAGAAAAAAAGTGATAGCCTTCTGGAGAAAATTTTTATCTTTAACCACTGAAAATTTCAAAGCAATTGGTTCATTATTCGAAGAGAAATACCAATTTTTTAATGATAATGACGAAAGAAAATAATAACAATAACAACAAAATTTTGAAACGATCGTTATGGCCACTAAACGTGTCCAAAAATACAAAATATAGAGGACTTGCACGGGAGTGAAACTTTGTTTACTGGACGGCGAAAAAACAAAAACATCCAGCACGCTCCTGTCAGTTGCAAGTCGGATTATACGTTACCGTTTTGCTTGGCTGTTGAGAATGGTTATTTCGTATTGTGGTGTTGAAAAAGGTTATTTCGTATTGTGCAGTTGGCTGTTCGTATAGAATAGACAACGAAATGGATCTTCAGTTATATTCCACTGTTTTCAAAAGATCCGGAACGTCGCGCAATGTGGATATCATCTATTGGCATGACTGCTTGATGTCCAAGTCCAGAAGTCATCTCGCTTGTGTTTCAGTGTTTGCGGACAGCACTTCGTTGATGGTGAATGATAATGTGCCGTTATCAATTTCTTCAAATATTCATAAGCTTTGGAAAGCAGATGACAAACTACTGTTATTGGTAGGACTACTTGCGTGTCCACTTGCAGACTTGACTTGTGTAAAGAATTAATCATTAAATGCCATATGGTATTGTTTCCCTAGTTAGCAGGTAATCTATTAGTAAGTGTGACAGGTTGAATCGATAACTGAAGTTTAACGCCAGTGGTCATGCAAAAAATAACCAGAATTCAATTGAATTCGCCAGCTAGGAATACGCTCGCCACCGCA